AGCACTGACAACTCTGACCAGGATCACAACAGAGGGTTCTGGACAGAGCTGGAGAAGGATGTAGAACAAAATTCTAACTCACAAAAAAAAAGACCAGATTTACTGGCCTAAAGGAGACTGGAGAAACCCCAAGAGTATGGCCCCCTGACACCCTTTTAGCTCAGTGGTGAACTCATTTCCGAGGTTCACTGTTCAGCCAGGGAGTGGACAGCCTCATAAAACCAAATGGGACTAATAAGGCACAGCAGTCCAGGGACAAGGGCCAGAAGGCAGAAGGGGACGGGAAAGCTGGTGATAGGGAACCCAAGATTGAGTAAGGATAGTGTTGATGTGAGGTTGTTAACCAGTCACAGGGCAACATGTGTACTAATTGTTAAATGAGAAACTACTTGTTCTGTAAGCCTACACCTGAAGTACAATAAAAAATAAAGAAAAAGAAGATAAAAAAGTGAAGAAATTATAATCTTCTGCTTTAAAACAAGACATTGCTGTATACGCTTCCTCTGGAAAATAAAATCCTAGCCTTCTAAGTGGGAAGTACCCGGGAGGTACGTCTTGTTTAGCATTTCTCAGGGCTGCATGAGAATTCCCCTCTGAGCTGCTAAAACCCAGATGCCTGGGCTAGACCTGACCCCAAACCTACCACACCAGAAGCAGCGGGGAGACGGAATTTGAATTCTGACGTGCACTAGAGTCTGAGACCCACTCGTCTAGTTTATCCTCCAGCCCCTCAGCAGAACTGTACTTACGCCCTTCCAGAATGATGATCATCCACCCTACTTTTAAAGACCTTTGGGATATAAGAACTTATCTTCAACTAACAAAACTGACAGAAAAGTCAGTTCAATTTATTGCCCTTGGTTTGTGCTTTATATCCATTTAAAATAAAATCTGTTAAGTCCCCAAGTAATCTTAGACATGACAATATATCAAAAGACAAAAACAAGGGCTTTCTTGTCAAAGCTGCTATTATACTAATAAGTGAGGGTCACAGAAGCCTACTCTAGGATCCTCAACCTGTAATTTATCAAATAAAGACTTGACATGGGCCTGAGCAAAAAGGGTCATAGTATGACCAAAAAAGTACTGCTTTAAGTAGAAATGTATTCATTCAACTATTATTTATCAGGAATCCATAATGTACAGAACAGAAATAGGGAGACACAAAAATAAATTTAAGCAGCACAACTGGAAGGATGTAATCAATGTCACTGAATTGTACATGTAGAGACTTGACACGATGTAACTCTGGCTGTGTATATTTTCACCAAAAAAAGGTCCTCCGAGGTCGAGAAGGGAGAGTGCTGACATGTCGGGGGCTTATTAACCAATGTCATAAAACAGTATGTGTACGGACTGTTTAATGAGAAACTATTTGTTCTGTAAACTTTCCTCTAAAGTACAATAAAAAAAAAATTTTTTTAAATAAATAAATAAATTTAATATGAGATCTTTTCCCTCAAGAAGTTTTCAGGAAAAAAAATAGTCAGAAGACTGTCTAAGAATGAAAATAAAACTGACACAACAAAGAGGTGAAAAAAGAAATGGCTCACTTTGAATATTTTACTATAAATCAGATATTTTAAAACAATATATGATGTCATAGTAGTATATGTTATTTCAAATTTCCTTCTATCTTTACGGAAAACATTGATTTCTTTAATTGCAATGTAACATTAATACCAACCACTGTCAGAAAACCAATAAAGAACCAAATAAGGCACCAAGAATAGACAAAAAGTAGTATAACAAAACTTTGGCTAGCTAAAATCGTCAAGGAAGTGAGACTCTTCCTGACAAGTTTATTGGCTAGCTAAGTCTTTTTGGATGAATCCTAAACAGAATATGCTAAAAGCTTAAATTTTAAAAAGTTATTTGTTATATCAATTATTATATTGTGTTGGAATAGAGTAAGCCCCTTCAGCTAACCGAAATTTATTACTGTATTAGGGATCTGGAGGACTTTTTCAACATATTTTCTTTTCCCCTTCACTCTGAGAAGTAGGCCTACCTGCGGCTGATCCTCTAGAAGTCTTCTAGCCAGCTGAAAGTGAAGAGGACTAGAAGTACTTACTGATGAACATCAAAGACCACAGCCTTCAGTGCAGATTACACCTCAACATAAAGAAAACAAAAGTCCTCACAACTGGACCAATAAGCAACATCATGATAAACAGAAAAAAGACTGAAGCTGTCAAGATTTCATTTTACTTGGATCCACAATCAATGCCCATAGAAGCAGCAGTCAAGAAATCAAGGGACATACTGCACTGGGCAAATCTGCTGCAAAAGACCTCTTTAAAATGTTAAAAAGCAAAGATGTCACCTTGAGAACTAAGATGCACCTGACCCAGGCCATGGTGTTTTCAATCGCCTCATACGCATGCAAAAGCTGGACAATGAATAAGGAAGACCAAAGAAGAACGGATGCATTTGAATTACGGTGCGGCAAAGAACACCAAACATACTGTGCACTGCCACAAGAACAAATAAATCTGTCCTGGAAGAAGTACAGCCAGAATGCTCCTTAGAAGCATTTGGACATGTTATCAGGAGAGACCAGTCCCTAGAGAATATCATGCTTGGCAAAGCAGAGGGTCAGTGAAAAAGAGGAAGACCCTCAACAAGATGGACTGACACAGTGGCTGCAACAATGGGCTCAAACAAAGCAGCGATTGTGAGGATGGCGCAGGAGCGGGCACTGTTTCCTTCTGCTGTACACAGGGTCACGACGAGTCAGAACTGACTCCACAGCACCTAACAACAACATCATGGATGTTAACCATGACAAAAATGTATTAGAATTAAAGACCTGCCATAGCAGGTCTAAAGATTAGAAAAGACTGTACTGTCTTTAATATACACTTTTATCAGCAGGAGAGAAGCTTACCCTCCTTGTTTTTTCTAAAAGGAATATCAAGCTTACCCTAAGGCAGTCACACCCTCACCTTTCAGCTATGATAGTGATGGGTGAGAAGGCTGGCAAGATTTGGGGAAGAGAAACTTCTTAAAAAACAATAAAAATATTTAATGTGTATTTACTACTTTGTGCAGGGCACTGAGATAAGCACTCTCCATGAATTTCCTTTTTAATCTTAACAACCTTCTAAGAGGTTATTTTTCTCATTTCACAAGTGAAGAAAGTGAGTTTTGAGAGGCTAGCTGACTTGCCCCAAGACCACAGAGCTAGTAAGTTGCTTGGACCCGTGTCTGATTCCAGAGTCCCTGGCTCTTAACCACTAGACAAACCTAGGATAAAAATCTGCATCACCAGCTGAATTAGTAGACAGATCCTGTAATGGGTCACAAACTCATCAGCAAAGACCTCCTGGTTCTTCCTCCCACCTGTCCCTAAACCTGCCTGAGCTGGGACTGAGATAAGACTGTGTCTTTGTGTAAAGGTAACTAGCTTGAACTGAAAGAGAGCCTGTGACCCTAATCTCATCAGCCTTATAACAAGGGAAGATACAGGGAAGGTTTCAATTGCTTTGCCCTTTTACTCTTTTGTCATCAAGATATATCCACCCTCATCTATAGAGGTCACCATCTCTTTTATCTTTGTTCTTCAAAGATACAAGCTACCAACTTAGTCCCTGGCTGTACGAGTGCTTGTCCAGCATACACTTCATTCAGGCACTAGGATATAAAGAAGTGATTTTTATTTGCTACAGTCAAACTAATGGCACCCTTACCTTCCTTGCTGAAGTTATTACTTGAAAGGTATGCCTGGATGGTTGCATCACGGAGTGTCATTGTTATGTTATTCATGTGTATCTGGTTACTGCTCACACATCTGTATTTTTTATCTATGTCTGCCCGGATGTCAGTTGTGGATTCCACAGTCTTGAGTCCTATATTAAAAAAAGAAAATGAATCAAAACATAATTTTGAACTACCTGCAGCACTTAGTTAAAAGTAATTTTAAGACTATCCTCCTCAACTCAATTTTCCATCACCTCATAATCGTCAATTTCAGTTAATCTGACTCTTACCCTTGGAGCTTGCATTGGGGAAAACATCTGTGTCAGACAAATTATAAACAAAACTTAGCATCTGGACACCATAACGCGTTGCATTCCTTGTGAAATTCAGTGTTAACGTATGTCCGCTTCCAAAAGCAATCATCAGACTAGGGTCAGAAGTGTTCTCTTTACCACATGAGCTGGTATTCAGTACTTCTGCATCAGGCGGCAGGTCAAGGGTCAGATTCTAGAACAAAGACAATTACAATCAAACTCAGAATATAATTACTGAAGGAATTTGGAAACATCGAAAGAAAGAATCTAACAAACTTAGACCTTAGTTCCATCCCAAGCATCACTGTTGAAGTATTTTATAATATAAACATAATTAATGTCACTGAATTGTACATATGAAGATTACTGAAATGTCAAATATTTTGTTATATATATTTAGCACAAAAACTTTCTTAAAAAAAAAAAGTCAAAAACTACTGGAACTATCCAAAGTGAGAATAGCAGCACAACTGGAAGAGTGTAGTCGATGTCACTGAACTGTGCCTGTAGAAATTTTTGAAATGGTGTATCTTTGGCTATGTATATTTTCACCAAAAAAAAAAAAAAAAAAAGTCAAGAAGGGAGAGGGTTGACATGTCATGGGGTTCTTAACCAATGTCATAAAACAATATGTGTACTACTATTTACTGAGAAACTATTTGTTCTGTAAACCTTCACCTGAAGTACAATTTAAAAAAAAAAAAAAAAAAAAAAACTACTGGAACTAACAGAAAGATTCAGCAGAGCAGCAGGATACAAGATTAACATACATACAAAAATCAGTTGAATTCCTATACACCAATAAAGAGAACGACGAAAAGGACATCAGGAAAACAACACCATTTATAATAGCCCCTAAAAAACTAAAATACTTAGGAATACATCTAACCAGGGATGTAAAAGACCTATACAAAGAAAACTACAAAACACCACCGCAAGAAACCAAAAGAGACTTACATAAATGGAAAAATATACCATGCTCATGGATAGGTAGACTTAACACTGTGAAAATGTCAATTCTACCCAAAGCAATCTACAAATATGATGAAATCCTGACCCAAAAACCAACAGCACTCTTTAAAGAGATGGAAAAACTAATCATTAACTTTATATGGAAAGCGAAAAGGCCCCAGATAAATAAAGCAATATTGAAGAAGAAGAAAAAAGTAGGACTCGCACTACCTGACTCAGAACCTACTATACAGCTACGGCAGTCAAAACAGCCTGGTACTGGTACAACGACAGACACACTGAACAATGGAACAGAATTCAGAACCCAGATGTAAATCCATTCACTTACGGTCACCCTGTCTTTGACAAAGGCCCAAGGTCTATCAAATGGGGAAAAGACAGTCTTTTTAACAAATGGTGCTGGAAAAACTGGATGTCCATCTGTAAAAAAATGAAACAGGACCCATATCTCACACCATACACAAAAACTAATTCAAAATGGATTAAAGACCTAAACATAAAACCAAAAACTATGAAGATCATAAAAGAAAAAACAGGTTCAACTCTAGAGGCCCTAATACACAGCATTAACAGGATACAAACCATAACTAACAACACACAAACACCAGAAGATAAGCTAGATAACTGCGATCTTCTAAAAATTAAACACTTAAACTCATCAAAAGACTTCACCAAAAGAATAAAAAAAGAACCTTCAGACTGGGAAAAAAATTTTGGCTGTGACAAATCCAACAAAGGTCTAATCTCTAAAATCTACAGGAAAATCCAACACCTCTGTAACGAAAAAACAAATAATCCAATTAAAAAACAGATCAAGGATATGAACAGACATTTCATCAAAGAAGACATTCAAGTGGCTGACACATGAGGAATTGCTCGCAATCACTAGCCATTAGAAAAATGCAAATCAAAACCACAATGAGATACCATCTCATCCCGACATTACAGGCATGGATCAAAAAAGCAGAAAATAACAAATGTTAGAGAGGCTGCGGCAAGATTGGAACTCTTATGCACTGCTGTAGGGAATGCAAAATGGTACAACCATTTTGGAAAATGATTTGGCGCTTTCTTAGAAAGCTAGAAACAGAAATACCATATGATCCAGCAAGCCCACTCCCAGGAATATATCCTAGAGAAATAAGAGCTGTCACACAGACATATGCACATCCATGTTCATTGTAGCATTGTTCACAACAGCAAAAAGATGCAAACAACCTAGGCGCCCATCAACAGATGAACGGATACACAAACTATGGTACACACACAATGGAATACTATGCAACAAAGAACAACAACGATGAATCTGCGAAGCATCTCACAACATGGATGAATCTGGAGGGCATTATGCTGAGTCAAATAAGTCAATCACAAAAGGACAAAATATCATATGAGACCACTACTACAGAAACTCATAAAAAGGTTTACACACAAAGAGAAACAATCTTTGATGGCTACAACAGAGGGGAGGGGTGAGAGGGAAAAACACTAACAAGACAACAGGTAAGTGGTAACTTTGATGAAGGGTAAGACAATACACAATACTGGGAAAGTCAGCACAACTTGTCCAAGGCAAGGTCATGGAAGCACCACAGACACATCCAAACTCCCTGAGGGACCAAGTTACCAGGCTGAGGGCTGTGGGGACCATGGTCTCAGGGAACATCTAGCCCAACAACACAGTTTATAAAGAAAATGTTCTACATTCTACTCTGCTGAGCAGCGTCTGGGGTCTTAAAAGCTTGTGAGCAGCCATCTAAGATACGCCACTGATCTCACCTCATCTGGAGCAAGGGAGAATGAAGAAAACCAAAGACACGAGGGAAAGATCAGTCCGAAGGACTAATGGACCACAACGATCACAGCCTCTGCCAGACTGACTCCAGCACAACTACACGGTGCCTGGCTACCACCACCAACTGTTCTGACAGGGATCACAACAGAGGGTCCCAGACAGAGCTGGAGAAAAATGTAGAACAAAATTCTAAGTCTCAAAAAATAAAGACCAGACTTACTGGTCTGACAGAGACTGAAGAAACCCCGAGAGTATGGCACCCGGACACCCTTTTAGCTCAGTAATGAAATCACTCCTGAGTTGCACCCTTCAGCCAAAGATTAGACAGGCCCATAAAACAAAACAAGACTAAATGGTCACACCAGCCCAGGGGCAAGGACGAAAAAGCAGGAGGGGACAGGAAAGCTGGTAATGGGGAACCTAAGGTTGAAAAGGGGGAAGCACTGACATGTTATGGGATTGGCAACCAATGTCACAAAACATTATGTATGTTAATTGTTTAATGAGAAACTAGTTTGCTCTGTAAACCTTCATCTGAAGTACAATTAAAAAAAAAAGTATTATATTTCAGTAATAGACTGAAAATATAATTCAAATTTAAGATAAAGTTGTCTTAATTATTCACATAATTAAAAATTCTCCTTCCATTAGTATTTTAATTTATAATATAACTAAAACTAAAGTTTTCTTGTTAATTTATACTGTTGTGTATCTATATATTTTTAAAAAAGCTATTACTATTTTATCATACAGAAAGTTTTATTTAAAAATGTTTAAGCAAAGAGAATAGAAATGTTTATTGTGAAATTGTCTAAATTCACTCGTATAAGCAAAACAACTAGAAAACAACCTAATATCCATATCTAAATGGCTGGACTGATTAAATGAATTATGTTTAGCTGCACACTAATGCAGTCCTTAAAAAAATGACATAGAACTATATTTGCTGACAAAGATATGCTTTTGTGAAACTGTAAAGCACATATCAATATATGTATGATCCCATTTGTATAACAGAACTAATATATAAGAAAAAGATACTAAAATTTTTTTTTTTTTTTTTTTACAAATTCAACCTCCAAAACCAAACACAAAAAAAGTGAAGTAGAAATTAGAAAGTGCTTAGATAAGTCTTTATAACTGGAGAAGCTTTTATGAAACAAAATCCTTCCAGTTTTCCTCTATGTTACTAGCAACCACACTGTAGAAGACAAATATAAATACATAAACAAGGCCTCAGAGGCTAGCAAAAATTCCAGCGTGCTGTAAAGGAAGCTCTTATCTCTCCAGCAATCCTGGACTCTGCAACTGCTCTCTGAGAAGTAGCAAGAAGATACGGTGCTGTGAATATGGAAGTGGATAAAGAAAAATCATTTCAACAAAGAACAGAAAATAAAATGTGATTCGTGGATATACTTAAAAGATTCAGTACTCAGGAGAGTTAGTATAAGAAATGTTCATGAATAGAAAAAAATACAAACACGATATTGTTAGAAATCTACAAAATGCAAAAGACCTTACTTATCCTATACAAGCACGAGCTTTAAATGGAACAACTAACGCCCAGACATTCCCATCCAACTAGCACAATGCTTACGGCACTGTACACCGAACAGCTGTTTCTATGTACTTCCTAGAGCGCAGTCATTTACCTACTAGTGCCTGGGGGGTGCAAAGGGTTAATGCACTCAGCTGCTAACTGAAAGGCTGAAATCTACCCAGAAGCACCTCAGAAGAAAGCCCTAGTGATCTACTTCCCAAAAATCAGCCACTGAAAACCCCATGAAGCACAGTTCTACTCTGACATACATAGGGTCGCCATGAGTTGGAGTAAACTTGATGGCAACTCGTTAATAACTTATCTAAGATAAATTCAACAGACCAAAAAAGCTATATTCACAGAGGTGTTCACTGGGCATTAAAAAGAATATTTAAAAACTCACCAACTGCCAAAAGGAGTGAGGTTTAACAAATTACAGTTAACATAATTATGTATTACACTGTGATTATAAAAGATAATTATAAAGATAACTGGGAAAATGTTCATGATAAACAGTAAAAAGAAGAACACAAAGTGCTCTGTCCATTAGGACTACAGCCACATTTATATAAAACAGTGTATATTATTCATGCGCCTAGAAGGAAATACGCATTCATGAAAGAAACTGTTAAGGTGCGATTACTTTTCAAAGATTTAAAATTTTTGAATAATCTTCACCACACGAAATCAAAGCATGAATTGCCCTAGTGTCTCTTACCTTAGAACCACTCTTAGTATCGTAGTTCATTAAGAAGGTAGCTGAGAAGTCGGCCATGATGCAAGCTGTTCCATTGCCATTTTTCACCACAAACACTGAAGATGCACCATGCATGAGGCCTGCTATTTCCAGGAAAGACAGAACACTCAAATAAACACCCTTCTGAAAATAAACCGGGCATTTCTGTTTTCTACAGCTTGTAGCAATAATGAATTTCATTAAAAGATTCTACTGTGCTTCTTAAAACACTAAAGAACTAGACAAGTGGGTCGCATGAGCCAGTTTAGGGATCTTCTATCCCTCCCAGGCATGATTCTGAAAATGTCATCTATAAATCCATCTAAATAGTCTGTCAAACTGGTCCATAGGTATTTAATGCTTTACTTCAGAATACTTATCTGGAAGTCTCGTATCAGATTTCTGGGTCAATACTAGGTATATATCCCTCCATGACACTCGGAGGATTTTACTCTAAGACTTGGTGGGGCCTTTAAGACACAACTAAACCTCACCTGTCTCAAGCTAAAATAATATTTGTCTCCTACAGAAATCATTGGGTTCTACAGGAGAGCCTGTGATAGCTTTCACCGTAGTCCTAAACTGCTATCTAAGGTTTGATGTGTTTTTACTTCTTATGGCGTGGTGATGTGGCAAGACAGCCCACAGATTCAAAGATGTGAGCTCTTCTCCCAATTTCAGAAAGGTCTTCAAAAACGGTGATTGTATTTATCTGACTTGAACTTGACTTGTGTGACATTAGGCACATCACTTAACCTCTCTGGATGGAACTGCCATCTCCTTAAAATGAAAGGACAGAACACAAACGCTCTTGGGACTTTCCCGCTTTACAGAGATCACTGTGACATACTTTCTCTTTGATTGAGTTCTTTGAGGGTCAATACCACCTCTGCCTTCTTCAGACCCCCACGGCCCTGTGACTGAGATGTTTAATAGCAAATGTAATCTCATCACTATGGTAGAGAAGTTAATGAAACAAGTCAAATGTTTTATTACATCATTCTTTTATAGACGAGCAAAAATAGGTGGTTTTGTTCATTCTAAAACCAAACATTTATCAACTACCACCATGTAGCGTAACTTGTGCAGAAATTATGTGCTGTCACTTGTCTTTGCTGCTACAAGTCAGTGCATGCCCTTTTAATAAACATTTACACGCCTGTGATCTGATTTGCATGATTAAGTGTAAATATGATTTAAGTGCACGCTGAGGGCAGCACACCCAAATGAGTGGACACTAAATTAATAAGGTAATTTTCTAAATCATTTAAAAAACTTTTTACTGACTCAAAGCACTTCATTAGGTAACATTTCATACTAAGTAACTTTTCATACGATTTTTTCTTTTTGTAAATATGCTGAACTTTAAAAGGAAAACGAAGTATTGCTAAACCAAATTTAAATAAGCTTTAGCAGCACTACACAGGCCCATACTTATCCTGGAAAGACCCAGAAAATCTGAATTATTAAAATAAGAAACTTACCCTCAGAAGCCAATTTTGGTCAAGAGAAACATGTCTACAACAGTATTAGAATACGCAATTCTAAAAGAAATGTATTTATGCTAATGGCTAGAAGTAGCTGTGAGGGTTTTTTTGTTTGTTTGTTTGAATTCTGTGAAAGTGGCAATCAGGAAAAACATATTTTTTCTCTAATTAAAATGGCCAGGATAATTTAATAGGTGTTACAACCTCAACACAAGCATCTTCTGGCTGTCCCCACCTGAATACATCAACCCCCTTGCTTGTAGAAGACTGCTAATCTCTGGCAGTCCTTCACTCACATACAAATGGGATTATTTCTTCAAAATACTCCAACTTTCAGAAATTTTATTCTTTAAAACAAATGCAGCTGTGGCAAGAGATGTGCTTCTGGGTCAGAAGATCTAGGTTCTAGACTTGACTCTGTAACCACTGCTTGACCTTCAGCAAGCAGCAACCTCACAACCTCTCAATTTAAGCGCCAGTAAAATGGAAACAAGAATACGGACATCTCAGAGTTGCTTAACGCGTTAAATGAAACGGTGAAGGTAAAGCATTTAGTTCAAGACCACGACACTAGCATTTTAACGATAGCTAATGTTATTAACACATTAAGTTCTGGACATGTACAAGTGAACCTGTCAAGCTCACCAGTTAATCCTCAGTACCTGAACAAGGATTTTATTTAATGAGCACTTGGAATGCACTTACTATCTGCCAGGCACTGCTCTAAGCACTTTGCAATTAATTTAGTTAAAATAACAACCTGGATAGGCAGACATTATTTTGATCTCCTTTTATAGATGTGGAAACTAAGGCACAGAGAAGTTACCCAAATTGCTCAAGATCACGCGGCTAGTAAGTGGTGGCAGAGCCAGACGGAGAACCTACGCCTTCACTAAGAAGCTCGTGCCCTTGAGATTCAAATCTCGGAGGGTTAGGTCCAGAATATACTCTGAACCACCCTCCCTCAAGCACTTACTGAATAAATGAAGATGCTTTGAATTATGAAACATCTGCTTCTGAAATGAGAATCTGCCACCCGAAGGAACTAGACAATAAATTTCTTCATAGAGAAAATAATTTTTTTATGATAAGAAATTATACCCTAGTTTGTTTTGGCTTGATTTTTTTTTTTGGATCCAGTACTTTTTTTCTTAACTTATGATGCAAAACTTAATCATCTATGATTTTGGGGGGGGGGGGCAAAGTATGTATATTTCTAAAAGGATTTATGCATATGTTTTGTTAAGAGCTACTGCTTTAACCAAAACTGGACATTTCTTCATACATTTACTGAGCACTTACTATGTGTGATGCACAGGCTCGCTGTAAATTGAGGAACAGAGATACATATAAAAAATAATCACAATAAACTGAATTAATGTTATAGTAAAAGTGTGCACTGTAAAAGCCTGTATAACAAACTTCCTGTTGAAGCAGTGAGACATCTAAGACTAATGCTGTCTGGGATGGGCCTAAACCAGAAATTCCAAATTACAGGACACAAAAACATTTTACTCTCAAATTCTAATGAAGAATTCGGTCTTCAACCTGAATAACTGACAATCCCTCACAATCAAGAGGAACATTCATTAGCATAAAACTTTCTGAACTTCTTAAGAGACAGTTCTTCATTTTGAAAGGGGAAGGAGATCACCGAACTGACATCCATGGCTTAAAGAGCCATATTATGCAAGTATACGTACTCCTGTGTATCAGAAAATGAAGTTTCAGTTCATGTTGGCTGGTGCTTTCTAGCAACTGTTTAACACAAAAGAGGCTTTAAGTCATTCCTAATTATCAATATAGGAGAAATCAGAAATTTAGAAGCCTGAAATTTAACAAAAAAAAAAAAAAAAGCAATGCATTTTGGGGCAAAACTGATCACTAAAATTAACATTATTTTAAATAGACCTAAATCCAAGCTTTTTAAAAGATCTTTTTTAAATGTTCAATTTTTAGTTGATTGTAACGCTCCAAAGGTACAATGCAACTGGAGTTAAAAGCTAATTTTATGAACAGCTATTCATGCAACAAAAAAAGGAACAAAGAAACTTTACTAATAACCATTGCTGTCCAGCCGATTCCACTCACAGCGATCCTACAGGACAGAGGAGAACTGTCCCACAGGGTTTCCAAGGAGCAGGTGATGGATTCCAACTGCCAACCTTTTGGTTAGCGCCAAACGCTTAACCATGAGCCACCAGGGCTCCATTTTACTAATGGGCCAGGACTAATTTACTGGTATCTCACCAGCTGGAAACGGTACAATCCATTTCTCCACAAACAACTGCAATTAAATATATTTCAGCGTTAAAAGTGAAACATTCAAGAGATAAACCAAAAAAAAAACCAAACCCATTTCCATCGAGTCTCACAGCGACCCTACAGGACAGAGCAGAACCACCCCATCGGGCTTCCAAGGAGCAGCTGGTGGATTCAAACTACCGACATTTTGGTTAGCAGCCGAGCTCTTGACCACTGTGCCACCAGGGCTCCATTCAAGAGATACGCCAGGTGTATTTGGAAGAAAACCTATCAGTGAACTGCTAAAAAAGCATCTTAATTCCCAATGTCAAAGATTTATAAAATGATTATACTTACTGTCATAACTTTTTTTTAAGTGAAGAAAGAACATTTTTCTCCTCACACCCATTACTTTCCTTCCTAATGCTGGCCACATACATTTCACAAGAGTAAAACACTCAACAATTAAAAAAAAAAAGATGCCTGTCTTGCTAAAATATTTATATACTGTGAAAAAATGAATATAAATTCTGATTTTGTTTAAATGACCAATGGTAGTTTTCATTAATGATGTCTTCTTGGCTAAAACCAAAGCCAAAAAAACAAAAAAGAGGAAGCCAGTGAGAGAGACAAAAAAACAGAAACACAGAATGTTTGAATTAATTTCCTGCTTTATGATTAAATTTATTTTAAATAAAATTCACCCTAAGAGAAACTGAACACATCTGACTTACATTTTAAATGAATTATTTGCCCATCTATCTCCCCTCTCATGTAAGCCACCTGAACCAAGAAATCTTTAGAATGGATTAAAGAAGCACTTCTTCAAAAGAAAGGATATATACATACACACTCTGGGAGGTTCGTTACTGTCATCAAATTGTACAGTACAAAGGTCTAGTGCTACACAGTAAATCTTAATTATGATGAAAATGGAAATTCGAACCACAGCTAATCCAGTGATAACACTCACCCCATAATAAACCACCAAAGAGAGGAGAAGTCCAACTTACATTAGCAGCTGAGTTCTAAAGGACTGTCTTTGATTAATAGGGCCGACTCAACAATAGGGCATGCACTCTGGAATGTACATTATCAGGCACTCTAGGTGTCTGCATGGGACAATGGTGGTTCAGCCCATGCACCTCACGAGCAGCCACTACAGACTAGGAAGAAAGGCCTGGTGATTTATTTTAGAAAATGAGCCAATGATTGTGCATGGGGTCCCTGTGAGTTGAGGACCCACTCAACAGCAGCTAACAAAGACAACAAAGTTTCTGCTGAAAAATGGCAGATAAGCTTGAGATCCTATTTCTCCCACTTTGGTTGGAGACCAAATATGCATGTTTCAGAGAAACACCTGGTTGGAATGGAAGAAAATCAGGTTAAAGTATAAAGAAACGATTCTGTTTGAATTATCAGGCATAAGGTCTTCCTTTCTAATAGAAATAGACATGTTAACTATAAGATGAAGAGGAAACGGAAAAACACTGGCAATGAATGCGCACAATACTTTAACCTATCAATATCATGAAGTTACAGATTTTTCTCTTCATTTTTAAAAACATGAAACAAAATATGACTTACAACGTTGTAAGCTCTCCTAATAAAAGAACAACGCAGTCGTTTGGACATGACAAAACTTGTTCCAGCAACTCCTCTTATAATTAATCACAGGTCAGGAGTAAGGTTCCCTATTCATTACTGGAATAAGGTCACCTCTTGGGGCTATTCACGCAGTTAAAATAATTCATTTTATACAACAAGCAAGACAAAAAAGCGAAAACAAAATCCACTCAGTCACACTAACCGAATTTTAGAGGAGTGTAAGCCTTAGAGATGTTTTTCAAGAACGCCTGTGCAGGTATGTCTAGGGGTGTCTATCTAGATACCCGCATATATTTAACTCACATGAACTCCCACACAGTTGTCTTCTGTATCATCCTTCAGATCCTGGCACTTCAGAAAAATCTTCCGATACTATTGAGGAGAGAAGTTCACCGATGGCCCCTCACCAGAGTGAAGCCATGACCAGATACTGCTTAAGGGAGCATGCATTCTCCTTCGTCATTAGAGCAAAACATGGGAACAAAATTCCCCAATCAATAAACATTTATCGAGCACCTAGTGCTCCTATAAATTCTACAGACTGACGAGGCGTCAGAATGCTTCCCAATGTGTTTACGGATTCTCTTATTCTGACTTACAGGAAACAGCACAATTAGTATAAAGCAAGAACACTGGTCTTTAAATGTATTAGAAATGAACACTGCCACTGTGAGTCCGAAGCCTAGTTTTACCTCTCATTTTGTCTGCCATGGAATCTCCTAAAATTCTAAACTAAATACGAGTTTAAACCATTCTAACAAATTTAAATTCAGAGTAACCTAACTGTACTATAAACATACACACGTGCATACCGTACTTAAAGGGAAAAGTATAAAGCAGTAGCTCTAAAAGGCTGGGAATCACCGCACTGCCCTCTCGGTTTTCTTCTGGGTAAAATCCGTGCTGTAAGGAGCTCGACTGAGGTCACCTATCCAGGCAGACCGAGACAAGGCACAGAGATAAATTCCTGCCTTCCTGGGCTGCATAACCTCATCTAGGCCTCCCCAGCCAAACCTGCCAGTAAATTAAACAGCTACAGCTGTCCGGAAACTACTGAACCACAGAATCACCACTGAGAAGTTCCGTTTCGAACTTAAGACCCCAGAAAAAATAAATTCAGTGACTAAGTGCGAATACCAAAGCCGAGCGGAACCATGCCCTAATCTAAGATCTCGAGCAATGAAGACACACCCCTTCGTCCTTCACTTTTAGGCAGCTGGACTCCCAACACCTAACCCACCTGTCAGTGAGGTTCTTTCTCCAAATCCCACACCCCGAAATTACAAGCCCAGCCACCGCCCTACACAAGCCGCCGCCTCTGACGAGCAGAACTCGGCCAGGAGCCAACCTTCAGCCAAGGCAACGACCAGGTCCAGTCCAGAGAACGACTCCTGAGGCCGCCGACACCCAGCCGCCCCGGGAGCTCCGCGCAACCCCCGCGACCTCCCCCCTCCCGTAGGCCGCGGCTCCTCCGAGTCCGGGGCGGCGGCGCCCCGCAGTGCCTGCTCCCTCTCCCGCTCCTTACCGAGCAGCAGCAAAAGCAGCTGCCACCTCCGAGCATCGCCGGGGGCTGCCATGGGCGCGAGGGCCGGTGAGTGAGGGAGCCGAGCAGGGCGTCAGGGTCTCGAGGCGGTTGGCGGTTGGCGACCGGCACCCCCGGCAATCTGCCTAACCTCGGGAGGCGGGGATTAGGCAAAAACGCGAGGAAGCCGAGGGTCGAGGCGTGGCGAGGACAGCAGCGTCCCAGCGAACTCGAGAAGCCCCCGCCGTTGCG